TTCCTGACTGAATCCAGCACAGATGGGTAGAGCCTCTTCATCATATGGATTTGCAAGGATGCACTATAACATTATACAGCTCTTTCATACAACTTCTGAAATAGTACCCTGGTTCTTGGATAATTCTGATGGTGGCGTGCTGGCTTTTTCCAAGATTTATTTCCCTAGCTTCTTTCTTTTGTAGCTCATTGGTCTGAACCCAGATTTAGAAACTAACTTTTGGAAGTTCACCTTGATTTCTAGAAGAAAAAGTCCTGAAGCCGGAGCAGCCGGTGTATTTTTTGTCGGTTCTAAGGATAAAAATACCTTTGTGAACGTGAGTTCACAGACAGATCTGTACCCCGTAGCAGGAAGTTCACAAGTACAGAGTAAATTCTAATCTTGGAAAACTGGGATTCGTAGCTGAGATTATCCAAGGGGACATGTGACATCCTTGATGTTGCAAGATACTTACTGTTTTGTACAGGAGTGTCTCACGGGATTTGCGGGCTGTTGGTTTCATGTCTGGTTTGAGGGTCGGTCTGCCTGGCCTGTGTAGCGCGTGCTCTCTTACTGCTGTTGATCTACTTGGGTGCATGTTTTGGGCAAGGTTTAGGTGTTGCTGTGACAGCACTCCATCCACCCCTAGTTTTGTGATAACGCTTGCATGTCAAATGCTTGCCAACATACAGCAAGACTCTTGAACTGTATGAACGAATTAATGCCTCAGTTAGTTTAGTTTCTTTTTGTCCGACCAGTCTATTGGTATAACAGCATGGTGAGATGAAATGCAGTATAAGCCCTTCTCTTGATCACCAAAGTACTGCGTGACGATTCAGGTATCAGTAAGCCTGTTGCTTAACACGCTAAATGAATAATGGTAAGTATAAAGAGACAAGGGATTGGGAGAATAAAGACCAGGTTTTAGCTCATGACTTTGCAAATCAGTCGAGGGAGGATGTACACACCTCTGTTATATCTGTTTTTAAAGGAACTTTAAAGGAACTTTTTTTTTGCCTCATCCCTGGAAGTGTTCAAGGCCAGGGTGGATGAGGCTTTGAGCAACCTGGTCTAGTGGAAGGTGTCCCTGCCCATGGCAGGGGGGTTGGAACTAGATGGTCTTTAAGGTCCCTTCCAACCCAAACCGTTCTGTGATTCTATGAACTGTCAGATTATGGGACTTAATATTTGTTAGGGATGCTAGGGATGACAATATTCAGCGAATCAGTCTTGCAGATGTGCTGGGATGACCCGCAGCCTCATTAGGGAGTAAGTTTGTTTGCCCTAGACAAGTAGGTGAGAGAGATCATTGTCAACTTCCTTTGTGATTTTGAAAGCAGTTTTTAAGCTCTGCTAGAGGGATGGTTTTGGTGTATTTGTTTAAACGGGTCAAAGCAGGAAGAAGTTAGGCTATACCAAGCAGCTCGGGGTTTTATGCAAAATTTATATTGGTAATATTTGGAATGACCTTTCACTGAAATGCTGTGGGAATTTTGTATTTAGATTGTAAAGTGTCTGGAACATTTTTTCTACTGCCTAAAATACTGCCATTTCCTCTCCAGTCCAGCTCAGCTTGTTATTCGAAGCAAAGTAAATAAATCTGTCATTCTGGATTTTATTTTGCTTCCTTTCCCAGTTTGGGTAAGGGAATGCTATGATTGTTCCAGGTTATCAGGAGGTTACGAGAGAGAGGTGAGCCGATCAGACTGTTTGGGGAAACGGATTATGACGCGTTTCAACGGCTGAGGAAGATAGAAATTCTCACTCCTGAAGTGAACAAGGTAAGACTGACTAGCTGCTGGCTACTGGTCTGTAGTGGCATAAGCAATGAGGAACGCTATACAGGTTACAGAAAATCGGTAACTTAATTTTCAGGAGTACAGAGCAGAGAGAAATATCTGCTCAGTCTCATTTGTTGCCTGAGAAAGCACTTTAAATGTCATACTTTTGTACACAGTTACCATTCCTTACGCTAGACGTTCGACGCTGGGCCCTTTTCAGTGGAAAAGGGGCCTTCACAGGGCCCCAGCCTGTGCTGTTACCTGCTTTTTAACCAGCAGAGAAGGCAGTCATTTACTGTTAAAATAGCCCGTGTTTGTGACTGCATTTCTGAGAAAGCACAGGTGAGTGAGAGGAGGGCTGCATCCTGTCTTCCTGGTATGTAAATAATTTTTCAAATCCCTTGATTCCAGGACTATAACTTGTTAGGGGACCCCCATCCCTTTAAAGTAGCCATCAATTAAAAAAGATGACTGAAAGATATATCACAGTTAACTGATTTATTCCTTGTGTCTTAAGGATTGATCTGTTAAGTGAGAAGACACAGTTGGGGTTTGTGTTCACTGTTAACCAAATTTGCAGCCCAGCTAAGAGTGGTGATTTGGATTTTCTTCCCTAATTTGTGGCAAACCGAATTGCTTGAAATGTCTTTGCTGGGACTACCCAGAAAAGGAAAGTGTTTTCTTGTCCAAGTCTTCTTTTTAAAAGGATAATCAACTCTAGAAGTTTAAAAAAATTAGTTCTGCTAATGAAAGCTTCCCTTGCAGAGACATCGAGGACAGTTGTAGGAGTGTTGGGAAATTGTGAGCTCATAAATAGGTTTGTGCTGGATTTTTGTGTGACATGTTTCAGTCACTCCCCTTGCTGTGTGTGCCTTAAAAGGTGGAGAGTCAGGATAACCGGTTTGTGGTTCAGACATTTTTAGACTACTAGATGATTAATAGAAACGCTCCAGACAGCCAAATGTGATGATGGAAGAGGGGAAGTAACTGTGCATATGTATTCCCAGTGGAGTGGCTGAATTTATCTTAGAGTAAGAAAAGTCATACTCCTTTACAGAGCTTTCTATTTTATATCTCAGGATAAGAACTGTGACTAACCCGGGTTTCTTGTTCTATTTAGCAGCTCTTAACTACAGCATCAGTTTGAAACCATATATGTACTTTTTTAATCAAAATAATGATATGATAAAATCAAATATGTACTTTTTTATGTAGGGGGTTTTAAACACTTCAACATAGCGGAGTGTTTTATATAGGTTAAATCATTGGTAATAAGGGGAAGACATCAGTGTTTTCTGTGATAGTGCTAAAAGACTTTTACCTTGTTTACAGCTTTTTTCAGGGCAGATGTGAAGGCTTGTAGGGCAATCCAGAAACTGTTCTTTCAGTCCAGTTTAAATTCAGGCAACAAAGCTAAACCCTTACGCACATTTTTACAAAATTTGGCTTTTCTTAAACCCAAGTTGGATACTGACAGTGACAGTACTGAACTGCTTCTATTTATTTGAGTTGGTTTTGTAAATTAGTCATTTCTTATCTTTTCCAGGGCCTGAGAAATGACCTGAAGGCTGCTTTGGATAAGATTGACCAGCAGTATCTGAACGAAATTGTGGGCGGCCAAGAAGCAGGAGACGATGACTCACAGAATGACTTGAAAGTCCACGAGGAGAATACTACCATTGAAGAACTCGAAGTATGCAATGAGGAGACTTTAGATGCAGTGTGTTGTTGTGAGAATGCTTCGGGGTTGTTTAGACAAAGTTATCTTGGTTTTGGCACCTGATTTAGGCACTCTGAAGTATCCTTAAATATGTTTTTTTAGGAAATTCAGGTTTCTGAGCCTTGAGTGGCACTCTAGGTGCCTGCGGTAGGCACGGGAAAACTCAAGTGTTTACACCTCATCAAAAAGGTGGCAGGAGTTGCTTGCAAGGAAAGTGATACAGTTAGGATTCCCTCTGCAGGGGGTTTGGGAGTAGAATTCAATAAAAGTACATTGCCTGGTCATAAATTCTAAAGCCTTTCCAATGAGTATTTGCAGGGGTAATGAGCTTAGTACCGATGAATTTTCCCTGTGAAAAACAGACTCTGAAAACTAGAGACACAGAAAAAATGTTTGGTACAAAAACATCCAGGGAGGAGGTGGAAGTCAGAAGTAAGCAGATTCCAGGAAACAGGAGAAGTGAGAGACGATGTGTCCCAGAAACTTCAGTGCAAATGACTCCTGAGTTCGGAAGGAATCCCACGCCATTTGTGTGAGCGGAGAACGAGCGCCACGAAATGTGTTCAGCGCCTGGTATTTTGGGGTAATGTTCTGAAAAGCCCATTAATGTGAGCTGAAGACTTTTGCCCTTAATCTTCACAACTCTTTGCGGTAGTTAATCTTCATATCATCCTTACCAAAGTGTGTTTAAGTATAATCTGATTTATTAGTGAAAGCTCAAACAAATATGCTATTCTGAGGAGGTAGTTCTTGCCTTTTTTGGTAGGTTACCAGGCTTCTTGTATGAAATAACTGTAGTATCAGAACAAATACCTGTTGTAAAGGGACTGCACTTAGCGATCTGTTAGTTTTCAAAATAGCCCCTTTTTGGGACAGTAGGACAGGCTTGGGTTGAGCCACGGAAGTAATCTTTGGAAAAGTTTGGAAACACCACGGTCTTTAATTTTCAGTCACTTTCACCCCATTCCCTTGAGCGTAAAGGCTCACATTGAATTTGGTTCTAAATCTAGGAAATGTTTTCTTAAACCAAAACTCACTTTGGAAATGAGAGGACAATGGAGATAGATTATCCACCCAACTATACTCACTGGAAAGTGTTTCTAAAAAATGCTGTTAGTACAGTTGTGAGGATTTGGCAGAAGGCTGGAGTACTGAGCACACTGTTGGGTTTTAGGTGGTGGGCTGGGTGTGGGTTTTTTTGTAGATTTCTTCCCTCAATTTCACAGCTACAATTAAATGAAATGGTAAAAAAGCCCCAGTACATCAGAAAATTGAAATAGCTTAATAAAATAATTAGGTTAATTGGTGGCTTCAGGGATCTCAAAAATGCAGTGTACCCACAGTTCCCCATAATAACGTACTGTGAGCTGGCTGCTAATTACACCAGTAATTTAGTAGTTAATGAATGGAAAATTCCCGTTGCATTAACTTTTCAGAAATAATCATATTGGCTTTTTGACTTAAACGTTTTTAACAGATTAATGAATCTCAGCAGCGTGTATAGCTGTTTCATTCTGTGTCCTGACGAGTGTTTTGGGTTGCTGGTGGAGTTTATTACCCGTACGATGCCGTGAATCGCGCTCTGCTGTGGTGGTGGCAAACTTCCTAGACAGTATGGAAATAATTGCCTTTACTCTCCTGTTCTAGGCTTTGGGAGAATCCTTAGGACGGGGCGATGATCACTATGATATGGACATCATAACGAAGTTCTTGAAGGTAATTAACTCTGGTTGATCAATTAGTCTGTAGCTGTGTTATCTTTTTTTACTGTCGTGCAGGTATATTTGGTGAATAGACAGGATGATTTCAGCTGCTTGGAGAGAAAAACTTGCACATTGTGCTTAAGATGAGGGGTTTTGAACTCCTCGGCACCCCACAGCCTTGATTAGTCATAGAATCACAGACTGGTTGGGGTTGGAAGGGACCTTAAAGATCATCCAGTTCCAACCCCCCTGCCATGGACAGGGACACCTTCCACTAGACCAGGTTGCTCCAAGCCTCATCCAGCCTGGCCTTGGACACTTCCAGGGATGGGGCATCCACAGCTTCTCTGGGCCACCTGTTCCAGTGCCTCACCACCCTCTCCGGGAAGAACTTCTTCCTGATATCTAATCTAAACCTCCCCACTGTCAATTTAAACCCGTTACCCCTTGTCATGTCACTACAGGCCCTTGTAAAAAGTCCCCCCCCAGCTTCCTTGTAGGCCCAGGACTAGTGACTGTAGGCCTACGAGTCACAGTAGTGACTTCTGCTAGACCTGGAAAGGAGCTGTTGGGAGAGCAGCATTCTTCAAAATCTGGTCCTACTTTTCCAGGCAAAATAAAAACGGGTTTGATTTCTGTGTGATAATTGAGGCAGTTGCATGTAGTTGCTGCTGTGTCCTGCTGTGACTTCTGAGGAGTCCCATCCCCGGGAACAGTGCAAGCCGGAAAGAAATGGCACCTGCTACTGTTAGGTGAAATAGGAGCATTTTGAAGGAAGTCAGCTGGCTTTGCTGAGGAAACGGGTTCAGGTGGATGGTAGAAACGTGTTTCTCGGCCAGAAGCCTGCGTTGCCTCTTGTGTGAGGCAGGTGGTGCCTGTGTACCTGCTGCGATGCTCAGAAGTCGCAGCGGGAGTCGAAGCTTCCAGTTGTGCCTATCCGATGCGTTGGTATCTTAATATAGTGGGGGTCAAGCAGTCAAAGGAGGCTCAAAAATTATTTTCCATGTGGAAGTAGGTTGAATTTTCGTTATCTCTACTGTTCCTTGGGCTTCTTGCCAAGGTCACCCAGAAACATCAGTATTCTACTTAGATTTGTGCTCTCTTCGTGTGCCCTGCCTCCCCTTCCCCCCCCCCGGTACTGACACCCGCACTGCTGTTTTATCGTGTGTCTTTTAATGCGTGCTCCACCCTCAGCCACACGGTTTTATAATAGAAGGGTTGTCCATATCCCTCCTCGCCTATCCCCCTGAAAGAGGCTTCTTGCCTTTTTCATTCAGATTTCTCCCCAAACCTCTCGTTGCCATGGCGGTTCCCACCGGTCGCGTCCCTTCTGCCGGGGCCGTCACTAGATGGCACTGTGACATAAATTTGCTTGTTCCTCCTGCAGTTTCTTCTTGGAGTTTGGGCTAAGGAGCTGAATGCCAGAGAAGACTACGTGAAACGGGGAGTGCAGGGGAAGCTGAACAGCGCCACTCAAAAGCAGACAGAATCGTACCTGAGGCCGCTCTTCAGAAAGCTTCGGAAAAGGGTGAATTACTTTTCCATGGCGTTACCCTGTGAGACTTTAACTTCTGCTTTCAGGGTACCCACTGGTTGGTGCATTCCCTAAAATAACATTGTCTTCAGTGAAGAAGAGTGAGTTGGTCAGAGTTCCTCTGTCTAGAGCCCGTGACTCCCAGTTCTGACCTTGATACCTTGACTGCTGTATTCTTCTGCCTACCCACTGCTTTTCCAGGTGTTGCTTTAGGTATCACCTGTTCACTGGGTTGCAAACATGATGGAGAAATGGGATTGTAATTTGCACTTTGCCACGAGCTACTCGGTGTAAGCACCTAACCTCTGTTGCTTCAGATCCTCATCTAAATAACAAACGTGCTTTCCATTGTTAAAGTCCTCAAGCTAGGGTAGGTGCTAAACTTCGTGTAAATGCTGAGTAGGAGGATTTTCCTGAGCTGCTACTCTGAAGTAAAGATGTCTTTTTTTTTTTCTTTCCCCTTTTCTTCTGTAGACTCTTCCTGCAGACATCAAAGAATCAATAACAGATATTATTAAATTCATGTTGCAAAGAGAATATGTGAAGGTATGTGTGCTTAAATCTTCCACCGTGTTCAGGCTCTCTGGTTCTAATAGATAGAGTTTATTACATCGAGATTTCCCTTTTTTTGCATTCTGAAGATACATAGTTGGAAATACACATAACATGTATTCAAACAAAATGAAAAATGGCTATTATAGGTTAGGCTCTGGGTAGTGTTTGATCCACAGCCTGTCAGAGGATCTTTGAGGCTGGTGAAACTGTGGAGGTTTGCAAGCACAAATAGAATTTTTCCCTGAGTTGGTTATATTCAGGGGGGTTGGAACTGGATGATCTTTAAGGTCCCTTCCAACCCAAACTGTTCTGTGATCCTATAGTAAGTTGCAGAGGAACCCTGTATGGGTAACCTGGTGTTGTAAGGTTAAATGAAGGTATTTAATTAATAGTAATAGGGTGTTGATGAACGAAGTGGGAATTAATTGAGGTGAGCTGAGTTACTGAACATGAGACAGTGTCCCTTTCTTTGGCTACGCTCACACGAGCTGGCCTGGTGAGGCTGAGGTGAGTTAAGGAAAGTGTTCTTGGGCCGAGTCTGCTGACTGGAGGAGGCAGCAGCAATTTGGCACGCCAGATCAAGGGCAGCGTTAGGTTTTGTTTGTAGCTGCCTTCAGAAGTGGCACTCAGACACCAACAGCTTTTGCTTAAGCAGCTTGTGTGCACAGAGGAAATTGAGCCGTGTTTTGCCTTTAAATTTCAAGGGCTTCTTATTATTCTTGTGGGGTAATTTGTTGGGTAAGCGAGCAAACCTCCTTCTGTTATTGAAAAAACCTTTAGACAGCCTAAGGCGAATTTAATCCAAACTGAAAGTAGAACTGAAAGTGTGGGATATATGATAGTGGGGTTTGTTTGGGGGCTTTTTTTGTCCTTTCGGTTGTTATCATTATGTTGAAATTCCCTTTCCAATGCCTTCTCAAAGTAACGAGTGTGCAGGAGTGCGGTGTATATTGTGGGTCAGTCAGCTGTGCTCCTGCTGGAGCTGCTTGGCTTTATGTAGACATCACAGACTGATTTCGGAGGAGTTGAGTGCACATTTGGAAATTTTGGTGTTATTTTTTTTTAATTAGGCTAAAGAGTGTTGTGGTTTTAAAGATACCTATATCCTTTTCCATTTTGCTTCCTATGACGCTTGTCTCTGTCTGTCTGCTGCTGTCCTCTGTGCTTTTTTTGCTTCGTGCAGCCTAGTGAATGCTGTCAGCCACAAATTCTTACTGCTTTGTTAGATGAAACGCTTGAAAGATGTAAATTTTGGAATCAGCATGTGACAGTAGGTAAATGCCAGAATGCAAGTTGTCCCCTCAACCGTGATTAACCCTGTTGTGACAGTCCTGGAAGGGTTTTTAATTGCATGCTCACACACTGTTTCATCACAAAACTGTATTTAAAGCAGTAAGTAGGATTTTGACTAAGACTGTTCAGATTCTGTCTCATGTAGGTGAAGATGAAGTCACGTCCCAGAGGTTTACCCTCAGCCCTGTCTGCAACCCCCTGCCTTGTTTATTATTCACCTCCTCAGAACCAAATGGGAAGAAACCGCACCCACTGGCCATGATTGCTATTTCTTATTGTCTGCTCTCTAAACAGGAGATGATAAATGAACTGTCTATCAGTGAGTCTTGTAGCTGATTGCTAAGAGTGGAGGAATGTCCTGCTCCACGTCCTTCTCGAAGCAGTGTGTGTAATTGCACGTATGTGTCTGTCCCCCTCACTTCCTGCTTCTCCGTTATCATGGGTTTTCTTAAGCTCTGTACATCTCATCCTTTCTCCCTTTCAAGTTTTATCCTGGGCTCCCTGGCCTGGTCCGCAGCCAAACCCAAAAGGGTTGTAAAGGTGATGCCAGCAGAAAAGCCTGTGGGTGGTTACTGCGTCTGGCAGTGCAAAATGCTCAGCTTCCTGACGCTCAAGAGTGCGTGCACTGTGTCTCTCCAGGCGAACGATGCCTACCTTCAGATGGCTATTGGAAATGCTCCCTGGCCTATTGGCGTCACTATGGTCGGCATCCACGCGCGAACAGGTCGTGAAAAGATCTTCTCCAAGCATGTAGCCCATGTCCTCAACGATGAAACTCAGAGGAAATACATACAGGTAACGTTAGCTTTGGAATACAACAAATCTGCTATGTGAGTTACGGGATCGTTGAGAAATACTAGATTCAGGTGCCGTGGTAAAAAGGTCCTGGAAACGGACAGTTTGGGTCAGGCGTAACATTAATTTAATAGATCATCCTGGACCTTGAAGGCTCTTCAGTGCTGGGCTAGGAAGGGTGTGTAACAGGTTTTTCTAGGCCTTAGCTATTGTGATCCTATCTGAACACCAGTGCAGCTGTGATGACATTCTCCCGAGTTCCTCCACTGCTCACCTCATGGTTTTAATGTCACGCGTGGAATTTAATGCCGTGAAACGCAGCCCTGCTGACGCTGCACCTAGATCAGCGCATTCGGTTTTCAAACATGTCTCTCTAACAGTGTGGGCTCAGCTCCAGGTTTACTTCCTCCTGTCCTGGAGGAACTGATTCATACTCATGTCATGAACTTTTTGCTTGTGGAATTAATCGTGTTTTTCTTCTCTGACCTTTTAGTGTAGTGGGTGGACAGGTCTGAGGAAAAAAGTCTCCTCCTTGTATTATTCAATGGATTTGCCTCTTGCTGGTTGCAATTTATCATAGAATAGAATCACAGACTGGTTTGCGTTGGAAGGGCCCTCAAAGATCATCCAGTCCCACCCCCCCTGCCATGGGCAGGGACACCTTCCACTAGACCAGGTTGCTCAAAGCCTCATCCAGCCTGGCCTTGAACACTTCCAGGGATGGGGCATCCACAGCTTCTCTGGGCAACCTGTTCCAGTGCCTCACCACCCTCTCCGGGAAGAACTTCTTCCTGATATCTAATCTAAACCTCCCCACTTTCAATTTAAACCCATTACCCCTTGTCCTGTCACTACAGGCCCTTGCAAAAAGTCCCCCCCAGCTTCCTTGTAGCCCCTTCAGGTACTGGAAGGGGCTATAAGGTCTCCCCGGAGCCTTCTCTTCTCCAGGCTGAACAAGCCCAATTCTCTCAGCCTGTCCCTATAGCAGAGGTGCTCCAGCCCTCGGAGCATCTTCGTGGCCTCCTCTGGACTCGCTCCAACTGGTCTGTATCCTTCTGATTTTGAGGGCTCCACAGCTGGACGCAGCACTCCAGGTGGGATCTCACCAGAGCAGAGTAGAGGGGCAGAATCCCCTCCCTCGACCTGCTGGCCACACTTCCCCTGATACAGCTCAAGATGCGGTTGGCTTTCTCGTTGAGTTACAGACCTTCTGGCTTAACTCTGAACCCTCCAGAGCAGCGTCACAGAACTCAGGGCTTCTGGCAGGGGAGTTTTACGTAAGTGTCTTCCTGCTGTGGCAAAAGGAGGCCCGTTGCTTTTCAACTTCTGCAGCTCTGCCAACAGACTGCCTGCAACGTGCAACTTCCCCATCTGTCTTGAGTCTCTTTGAACGGGGGCCACAAGTGTAACCTTTAGTTTCTCTTCGCCTGTTGTTTTTAATCTCACAACCTGAGAAAATACCATTGTGATGTCAGAGGAACCAATTGGCACGTGGATTGTGCATCTTCAGCGACAGGCTCCCGTTAGCCTAACACTTGCTGGAAATATGTAATGGATGAAATAGCCCACATTAAACTGAGTAATTTTACTGTCAGTCCGTGTTAAAAAAGGGATTTGGACTTGGAAGGAATGTTTTTGTGGGCCTCAGCATGGCCAATAACTCTGCTTCTCCAGTTTTGGTGACTGATTGGCCGCCGGTGTCCGTTTGCCGCTCGTTCTGCAGGAAGGTCTCTGCGCTGTAGGGTTGCTTGATCTCTTGGAACGTGCCTTGTGGAAGATGCGACCTGTGTGAATTCCCTGGCTTGTCCCTTCTCTGCTTCTGGAGTTACATCTCTTGGTCAAGGAAATCTTCGCGCTCATCTTCCCACTGTGAATTTCGTGTCTGTGCTTCTGAATCGCACAACTTAGGAAGCGCCAGGGCAAAGTTGCCTTTGAACACGGACGTTCTCCGTGTTGGCTTTAAGTACCAGGTCTTGTTTGGCCGGTCTGGTTCGGGCTGGAGCACGGAACCAGTCTTTGTGCCCCCGGCAGGTACATGTAGCTGACGCGCTTCTGATTTACAACAGAGCTGGGGTCGTAACATCCTGAACAAGGAGTGATCATAGAATCACAGACTGGTTTGGGTTGGAAGGGCCTTTAAAGATCATCCAACCCCCCTGCCATGGGCAGGGACACCTTCCACTAGACCAGCTTGCTCCGAGCCTCATCAGCCTGGCCTTGAACACTTCCAGGGATGGGGCATCCACAGCTTCTCTGGGCAACCTGTCCCAGTGCCTCACCACCCTCTCTGGGAGGAACTTCTTCCTGATATCTAATCTAAACCTCCCCGCTTTCAATTTAAACCCGTTACCCCTTGTCCTGTCACTACAGGCCCTTGCAAAAAGTCCCCCCCAGCTTCCTTGTTGGCCCCTTCAGGTACTGGAATGCTGCATGATGATGGTGCCAGGCCGCGTTTTCCGGGCTTGCCTGCACTGAAAAGGCCGAAACATCCTCTGCGGAATCATTTTCCCTTGGAAGTGAGGAGCCATCTTCCCTTGTGAGCCTCTGCCGACGGGCACAGGACTCGGCCCTCTCAGAGTACCACGTCACTGCTGAGTGACGTCGCTTCCAGAGCAGTTCTGTTTCTCCCGTTAGACCTCTGTGCGTGACTTGAAAGAAAACAATGACGGCGTTTTTCTCACCGTGGCTTTGGCAACCCACGTCTTGGGAGAACTGGAGAGAAGAGGCGCCGTTCTGCCTTTCCCCGTTACGCCTTTGGTTTGCCTCTGCGGTTAGGTGCGGGGTGGGGATGACGCCTCTCTAGGGAAATTGTTTGGTTCTTGTAGCTGTGAGGCTTGTTTTGGTGTCAGAAGTTGCTTTTTGCTCTACAGATTTAATACTCGGGTTTGTTTTAAATGTCTTTTCTTATGATAGGCTGGTTCCTTCCCTCGGTGGGAAAGGGGTTAGGGTGTTACTGGGGTTCTTCTCTGGGAACCTGTCATGAGGGGCTGAATCTGTGGTCTCTGTGCCGCAGAGTCCTCTGATACTGGAGAATTTGGCACGGTGCAGGCAGAAAGGTTCGTTAAGCTTAAAAACCAGAAAACCAACCAAATTTAAAAAAAAAGAAACAGCCCTGAAATAGCAGCTGTTTGTTCTGAATTCTTGTCCAGCTGAAAACCACTGTAGACTGCGAAGTGTGCGTGACGGCTGCAGCGTTGTTACAGCGTTGTCCTGCTGTTGTTAACTCCTAGGGGCTGAAGAGGCTGATGACCATCTGCCAGAAGCACTTCCCGACGGATCCATCGAAATGTGTGGAATACAACGCCTTGTGAGCCTCTGCGGGGTCCCAGGCCTGACTCGTGTTTGCTCTCCGAGACCCAGCGGGGATGGAAGAGGCGGTTTGTGCCCGGGAACCGCGGGTGGGCTTTGCAGGAAAGCACGAAGCAGCGGATTTTCTACAGCTTCCTTTGGACCAGCCTCGTTTCTTTTAGGTTTCTCCTTAAATCCGTGCTTTACACTGAACACATCCCGTGTACGCTGGAGGGGGGTTTTTTTGAAGGGGGTGCCACCAGGGCAGTGACCAGGGGACAGTGAGCATGACCCTGGCATGTATTTCAGTCAGTTGTTCCGGGAAACATATGGACTGAAAATGAGTGACCTCGTGCCCAAACCTTGGAGCTTTAACTGGGATTCAGCCCTGCAAAAGGAGCGCACGGGGGGGTTTTTGGCTGCTTTCCCATCGGAGACCGTTGTGGGGAGATGATTAGAGGGAAGCAGTTGAATGTGAATCTTGGTTAGTTCTGTAAATATGAAGACTTTAATGGCTGATCTTTCATGTGGCATTTATCAGGAGGGAGGGGGAGGGGGAAAAAAGATGATTTATATATTTCTCAGCTGAAAAATCCAGCCAGCCTTGGTGCAAAGAGTTTTTGATCTGGAATGCATCTGATTTGGCTTTCCCCCTCCCCCCACCTTAACGACATTTTTAATATAAACCTTCTGGGCTTGGGGGAAGTAATCTTCTAGCTCTTGAGGCTTTCAAATCCCATTTTCATAACATCTGGAG